CAAATGATTGAACTCCTGAATTAACAGTATAGACATTAAGGAAAGCCTGACCTTAACCACCTCTTACCGTGGCTACTATGTCTAAATTATTTTAAAACTGAATTTTTGCAGTAGAACCCACAGAGAGTGAACTTCACTCAGTCAGAGGCCTAAAAAAGACACGCATCTTTTCGCAAAACAAATTTGAAAAAGAAATCTGTGGTGTTTGTACTGCATCATATAAACTTTACTTTGTTTGATGAGATGATGAACAGCATGAGAAGAACTTGGCTGCATCTCCATTATACTTTTGTAGGGCAGCCAAGCATTTCACTCACCCATATGTTCTGGGTTCCAAAATAAGTTATCACAGAATCATAGAACAGTTAGGGTTGGAAAGGACCTTAAGATCATCTTGTTCCAACCCCCCTGCCATGGGGAGGGGCACCTCATACTAAACCATGTCACTCAAGACTCTGTCCAACCTGGCCTTGAACACTGCCAGGGATGGAGCATTCACAACCTCCCTGGGCAACCCATTCTAGTGCCTCACCACTCTCACACTGAAGAACTTCTTCCTTATATCCAATCTAAAATTTCCCTGTTTAAGTTTTAACCCATTACACCTTGTCCTATCACTAGTCTCTGATGAAGAGTCCCTCTCTGGAATCCTTGCAGGCCCCTTCAGATACTGGAAGGCTGCTATGAGGTCTCCACGCAGCCTTCTCTTCTCCAGGCTGAACAGCCCCAACTTTCTCAGCCTGTCTTCATACGGGAGGTGCTCCAGTCCCCTGATCATCCTCGTGGCCTCCTCTTCTCCACCCAACCTGTAGCTGTGCTTGGGATTGCCCTGACCCCGATGTAGGACCATGCAGTTGGCTTGGTTGAACTTCATAAGGTTGGCATCAGCCCACCTCACAAGCGTGTTGAGGTCCGTCTGGATGGCATTCCTTCCCTCCAGCATACCAACCGAACCACACAGCTTGGTGTCATTGGCACATTTGCTGAGGGTGCACTCAATCCCACTGTCCATGTCACCAACAAAGATGTTGAACAGTATCGGTCCCAACATCGAACCCTGAGGGACACCACTCCTTACTGGTCTCCAGCCAGACATTGAGCCATTGACCACAACTGTTTGTGTGCGGCCATCCAGCCAATTCCTCATCCACTAAGTGGTCCATCCATTAAATTGCAGTCTCTCCAGCTTAGAGACAAGGATGTCATGCAGGACAGTGCAAGCTTTGCACAAGTTCAGGTAGATGATGTCAGCTGCTTTGCCCCTACCCATCAGTTATGCAGCCCCATCATAGAAGACCACCAGATTGGTCAGGCAGGATTTCCCCTTAGTGAAGCCATGCTGGCTGTCACCAAGCACCTTGTTGATTTTCATGTGCCTTAGCATGCCTTCCAGGAGAATCTGCTCCAAGATTTTGCCAGGCACAGAGATGAGACTGACTGGTCTGTAATTCTCCGGGTCATCTATTTTCCCCTTCTTGAAAATGGGGGTTATATTTCCGTTTTTCCACTCATTGGGAACTTCATCTGACTGCCATGTTTTTTTTCAAATATGCTGGGCCGTGTTCTAGCAATTTCATTCACCATTTTCTTTGGGATACATAGATGGATTTCATCATGTCCCATGGACTTGTGCACATTCAGGTTCCTAAGATGGCCTTGAACCTGATCCTCTCCTACAATGAGCCGAAGGGCTTCCTTCTCACAGTCCTTGCATCGGCCTTCCAAGACTTGGGTGGCATGGCTAGACCTCTGAAGTTCTAATAACAAAAAACTAATGTGCAAAAACAAGGATTCTATTTTGTTATGTAATTATTTGTTGTGTGTACAACTTGGAGAAGATTCAGCAGTTCACCGAAGAAAGATTCTTTCTGGCCACTGAAAATGACTGCCGATTAGAAAGATATATTCACTTTTTTTCTCAGAAAGACAGAAAAATTCATGTGTTAGCAGCTGTTGATGATGCAAATATTCAGGTTCGCATTCTCCATGTGATCAATCAACATTGAATTACTGGTTGAAATGCTGAGAGAAAAAATTGGTTATAAATTCTTTCTGTACCTATACATGGTTTTAGACATCCTTCATTAGAGACTTTAATTACAAGAAAAGATTTTCTCTTTCTGCCCACTAAACATGCATAAAATCTTATCAGTTTCTGCTGCAGCACATACAGTATTTTAATTGCATTTCATTGTTCCCAAACCTAATTTGTTGGAAGTTAATTTTAATGATACTGGAGCTGGGAGCTGAATCTGTGTTTGCATGAGAGAATTTGGTAAGATGGATTTTTATGCATAGTAAATCCACAAGTTGGGTCTTATGTCTTTAAGAAGGTGTAATTTATTTTAAGAATGAGTGGGTATTTATTTAAGACATAAACATTATATCTAGTAAGTGTACTACAGCCTTTTTTGAGTGCTTTAATTCTTCTGTATAACACAAAATTGGCAGGCTGAAATTATGCACATGAGAGAGTGGCTTTTAAGACAGAGCAAATTGTTAGTAAATATTTAACTGACACAGAATCATAGAATCATTTAGGTTGGAAAAGACCTTTAGGGAAACTGAACAGATCTATTCTGTAGAATGCAAAATGGACTTTGTTGCCTCAGTGTGATGTAGGAAGCTGGAATGTTTTCTGTGCTTTCTTCCTATATTAAGCTTTAAAAAAAAATAAAATCTTGAAGACACACTTTCAATTCTTTAAGTAGTCTTTGAATCCTGGCTGATTTGAGAGAAGGGACAATATGTAAGATCATGCAGCATCACTTCCAAGAATAAATAGATAAAATGTCCCATGCCACTCTTAAGAAATGGTCAGCAGGGAAGAACAGAACTGCCAAAAGGCAGAATCCCTTTTCCCACAGAAACTACAGCTGTTGAATCTAAAGCCCAGCCAACAAGTCCTTGCTGGAGTTACTTGGGCCCTTCAGACAGTGGATTCAATTAATAGTGCAGAAGTGCTGTCACTCTTGCTATTCTTCCTTTCTACATCTGGTATGGTGAATCAAGATTTAAGTTACTTGTTTCTTAATGCTTGTTGCTCTTGAGGAGATAGGAAAAAAAAGGGAGGAAACAAAATAAGTGAGGGTCTCACAAAGATAGAATTAGGTGGCATCACATTACTGTGTTGCAAACGACATCAAAATATGTTGGAGGAATATCCATTGGAAATTGAGCCTCTGAAAAGAATTTTTTTTTTTTTTTCTTGACCGTTCCGTATTTTAATGATGAATAAGGGTTTGTGGGTTTTTTGGTAAAAAGCCTCACAGGGTTCATGAGGGGGATGACAGAACTTAATTTCTCTGTCACTCCTGTTGTTAAAAAGTTAGAGGAGTAAAAATCACAATATTGTCATGTTGCTGCAGAAACCAGAAAGTTCCTCTGTAGTTACACATCTGTGATCTTAAAAAGTCTAAATTCCTATTCTGTTTCAGCATCATCCTGAAGCTGACAGTGAGAGTGTGATAAAAAGAAAGAGTAGTAGAGGCTAAATCATTATAAATCTAGTATGGGATTACCTCTCCCCAGTCCCCTTTCCATATTTCTGTATAAATAGGTGCACATGTCCTTTTTCAAAAGCTTCCTAAATTGTTGAAGAAAGTATTGCATTTAAATGGTCCATGTGTCTTTTCTATTCAGGAACAATCCCATTTCAATTTAAAGTATTAGCTTCCATTAGAGGAACAGTTCCCATGCTTTTTGTTCCTCACTGCAGCTAAGCCGTTTTGATTTCCTTTCAGAGTTACAAAGTTCTGGAGGAGTGAATATATATGTGACTCTTCCACTGCAATTTCTTGTTACTCTAGGAATATATAGAGCTTTGAGGGAGGGAACATGACCATATGGAAATGGCTTTCTTATCCAAGTGGAAACAGTTTTAGTCAGCGTTCAGGTGGGCTCCATAAACATAATACAGTAGAGGAGCTTATAGAGCTGTACTTTAATGACCATTAAAATTGCATTTGCAGTGAATTCAGAACCAGGATACAGTGAATACTGATGATTTGTATTACGAATGGAAGACAAATGTCTTCTGAGCAAAAGAAAATCTAATGTTAATTAAACTTTTGTCGGGGTTGGGGTGGGTAATTCTGCTTTTGTGTTGTTAAATCTCCTTTGATTTTAATTGCATGGCAGAAAAATTGACTGTAAGTGTAATGTTAGCAAATGTTCATATTTGATTATGAGCATCTGTGTATGCTATGTCAACGAATTTAATGCTTTTAATTGGGGTGGCTTTGCCTTTTTTTTTTTTCTTCTTTTTTTCCCTCCAGTTCAGCCACACTGATAACAAAGGTTGTACTATCAGTGTGTTCAAGGTCATTCTTATAATCTGTTCAGTGAGAGCTGCTCCCCTTTAGGTGAAAAGAAAAATCAACTGAGCTTACCTAAAATTGACTAGGAAATCCTATTACACTTACTGAATTTCAGTTATATATTTCAGATTCACATGGAATTCGATGAACGCTCAGATTAAATATGAAAAACTGTAGCAAGTTTCCAATGATATGCACAGGTTCTTTTCCCCCTTTTGTGGCTGATTTAGAGAAACAAGGCACATTCTTTTCAGAGATGGCAAAGGATAAACTCAAATGATTAATATTAAAACATACCTAACACTGTGGTATGTTTAGAACTGGAAACAAAGGTAGGATATGTCTTATCCATCTGTCTTGCCTCCCTGTGCATCTCTCTGTCTCTCTAGAGCAAGTCAATAAAAATTATTAGAGCTGGCATCTCACAAACGTGCACCCTTAAACCATGAAGCAATAATACTGTGAGGGAAATTTTTTTCTGACCTTTTCAAATTACATCCAACTGTCTAGGGAATTTCTCAGTGACTAGGGGTAATAAGGTTCAATCCATTTTGCTGGTTGGCTTCAAATTTAGCTCCTCAGAAGCCCTAACTTATCTATTCTTTTTATCTTGGCCTTGGCGTCTATTCAGTACAGTAATCCATGCATCTAATCTTTTTTTCTTTTTTTCTCCCTTCTCAGGTTTAGCTGGGGGATCACATTGTGAAATGTGCAGCCATGAAAGGCCTTCCATTTACTGCACCCTTCAAAACGAAATATTAGCATGGGAGCTAAGCTGGTATGTTGCCTTTGAGAGGCTCTTGTTGAATTTAATTAGCTTTTACATTTCATCTCCATCTCGCATCTCGGCTTTCACTATTGTATGTGATTTAGGCTTCAGTGACTTTCATTATTTAAAAGTTTTCCAACTTAGCTGTGCCACCTTAGAATACCAAGGGGGAAATAAAGTTTCAAGTTCATTGTCTTAAATTGACTTCTGTTTAGTTTTTGTGATGCGAGCTCAGAAACAATAGAGACACAACCTTCCAGCAAGTTAGTGAATCATTCGAGTGAGAAAGGCAAACAAGTATTTGTGCATGGCTTGTTTCTTGCTGTACTCCATGAAGTAAAACTGGAAATGGATAAAGGATATTTTTAGCAAAATATTTACTAGAGTATTTTGATGGCAAATATTTTATATCTAGGAGAAAGTGCTTTCTTTTCAACTCATTTGGATATCTGTTTTCATTTTAGTGACTTATGCAGGGTATGTTGGAGTAGTGACTTCAAGTTACGGTTCACAAGTAACTTCAGGACAGCATGAGGAGAGCTGTCAATAAGAAATGGTAAGCTCTTGGCTTTTAACTTATTCCCCATGTGGTTAGGACCTAGAGATTTGTTTCATTTCAGGTAAGGGAAGGTCACAAAATTGGCTTTTGCTGCTGTTTCTTCCCCTGAGTTTTAAGTCTGTGTTTAGTTATATCTGATGTGCTGTTGAATGACCTGCAGAATATTGAAAGTGAACGCATATCAAAAAGCACCTGTAAAACATTTGCTTTTAATCATGCAAGAAATATAGTTGAAGACATATGCAGCTAGCTTATGTATAATCACATGACAAAGCAGTAGCTACAAAGAGATTTGGTAAGGACAGGTGGTGGTTTTTTTTCATTTTCGTTTCGATTCTCCCCTCCAAAGTGTAGGGGAACATGGTCAGATGGATTAAGCACAGAACTGGGAGTTTATAGATATTGTCCCTGTATGTAAATGGACCCCTAGTAGGCCTATAATGTTTGTTGAGTTTCTTAATCATTTTCCATCATAACCTTGGCTTCAGCAAAAAACTGTCTGTTCTCAGAAGAGGATGAGCACAGGGTGCAGTCTATTTCATTGTCTTGAACTGATTCAGCTGAAATAAAGTAGGTTCATTTTAAGTCATAATGTATCAATATCATTGATATTAGCCGTGTTAAAAGTGGGATACTCAGTAATCTCAAAGACAGTCATATGTTGAGTATATCTTTAATTCTGAAATTAATTCAAGGAAAACAGAATCCCACATTGGCAAGCCTTCTTCTTGTTTCTTTAGTGTCCTTACTGTCACATCATGAAAAGAAGTGTTGCTAAATGGACTGCTCCAGATATATTTTTAGGCAAGCAGGAATAAGCATTTCAAAATTATTTTATGAGTTTAGTACAAAAGATAACTATATTGGCAATGGGCTAAATGTTGTTGGAGATAATATGAAAGGATGTATACAAACACACAACTTGTCACTAAATTAAAGTATAGTCAATTAAATGAATATTTGTGCGGATATGTTGATTTACTTTCACATTGTGGAAGCTCAACTGATATATGTAGAAGTTATTCCTTAGAAGAACAGTTTTGCTGCTCTTAATTCTACATGAATTAGTCTTCTCCTGGCACTCCAGCATTCAGGTTGGCCTCCAGATGTGGAGACCAGCAACCCAAAAGGGTCCATAGTTTGCCAGGTGTATCAGAGGACTAAAATGCCTCATGGAAGAAGCCAGTTTTAGCATCTGAAAGCAATGACACTGGTTTTGACTGTATGTATATTTCTTCTTACAGTAGGTGCTTGAAAAATGTATAATAAATACACCTCATAATATTTCAGGCAGAAATACATAGGGATGGGATTATTTTGAATTACAATGGTGGCAGTGTGAGTTTTTTTCCACTGGGCAAGTTCTTGTTTCCAGGACTCTTTCTAATTTGTAATCCTGAATGCTGGACAGAAGCAGTTCCATCGACAGTTCTTTCTACCATACTGATGATTTTCAGCTCATAAGTGTTGAAAGCAAATTTGAAATAAGAAGGAGAAAGGATTTTTTTTTCCTTCCTATTTATTTACATTCTGTTTATCACAGTATATGTTGCATAAAAGGAACTCTGTGGTGATATCTGTGTTTACATTTCATTTATTGAAGTGGTTGTTTACCAGTAGTTACAAGCTGTGGACAACAATTGAGCTAAATCTGTTGTCCCCTTGGAATGTAGTTGAATAGTTTTTCCTTTGCCAAAGCCAAGCTTCCTGGATCACTGAAGATCCTGAAACCTCAGAACTCTATTCTGGTTTTTGGTATTACTGGAGAAAATCAATCTCTTCTTTGCAAACTAAGCAATTCTTGAAAGTAATGGATTAAAAAAAAAATAATAATAAAAATTAAATGCAACTATTTTTCAAATAAAACATACTACATTATGTTTTATAGTAGGAAAAGTAACAATAGAAGTCCTTATGTCTGTGGTTTAATGTCTGGTTTTATAGCTTTGTTTTCTATTCTGTCATTTATGATCTTTATTAATTAAAAGTCCATCAAAAGGAAAACAAAATGGGTGCCAGGGATAGGTAAATGAAAAACTGTGTTTCAGCTTTGCTCTTTTTCCTCAGTTCTTAAAAAATACCTAGTTTAACAAATCTTTATGAGGGGAACGTTCTGTTGATTGAGTCAAAGTAACTTCTGTCCATGCATTAGTGGTGTTAAAATGGGAGATTGCATTGTGCACATCAAAGGGATTGTGTGAATGCTATTGATACACCATTCTTTATTGTTCTGTGTTATTTATATTTTCATCATTAATCTATAAAGCCTTAATAATTAGCTCTCTAATTTCCCAGGAAAAGTACGTTAATTTATTGAACTGACTGAAGAAAAAAAAAACAAAAAACCCAACAACAACAAAAAAAAGAAGCTGATCAATCTGGCATTGTAAGTTAATAGAATAGAACAAAGCGAGGTCGTAATTAGTTGAGAAAAGGACTTTCCTTGTTCATTCCAGTTTATAATAAAAAGTCCCTTGCTAAAGTGACTTAGAAAATAATGCATTCAGACTGGGCAGAATTACTGCCTAGCAGATTCTATTTATCTGTAGCTTAAAAAGCAGCTGCGTTTTTGTAAAAAGCAATGAATGTGGCAGTCCTACTTAAAGGTAGAAGAAAAAGAACACCCCTTGTTTTGTAATAAGGGGATTTTCAATTTAAAAAAGAGAGAGAAAGCCTGTTGTGTGAAGTATGGTTATTACATTCACTGTATTCTATCTCACCCACCAGGAGGCTAATAACGAAGGAGTCAGTGAAGGAGACCAATGCCATGAGGGTTATCTCGCAGCCCCAGATGCTGGATAAGTTGAAGGAGGCAGAATCACTTTTGGATGACATTCAGGAAGGCCTTGAATGATTATTTGGCAAAGAAAAGACTATTCTTTCCAAGGTAAACAGCCCATTTCATGTCTGCTGTCAGTGTTGGTTTAAAATACATTTATATAGGTACTTCTAAAGTTAATTTTTTATCATTTTTCAGGATTTTTCTCCGGATGCAACAGCGATCTCTCAGGAATCCTTTCTGAGATAAAGGATCCACTCCAAGTCCAACCACACCTAAGGAAATGCTTTGAAGGAATTGCCAAGCTCACTTTTAATCACGAGAAAGAAATTACCCACATGGAGTCAGCAGAAAATGAAAAAGTAGAGCTCGTGCTGCGAATAATTCCAGCAAGTGCCAAGGGGCTAGTTGAGAAATGGCTTCATGAGGTGAATATCTTTAGCTCTTACTTAGGGTTTAGTTACTGTATAATCATTTTCTCTTTTAGGAGCAATGAATATCATAAGCGTATTTCCTAACTAAATGGCTCTGTGAATATTTGTCAAGATGTTGACAGATTTCAGCCTTATTGTTGTTATTTATTGCAACTAATTTAGCATCTGCAAACCTGCAGAAATTAATTCTAATAAAAAGCTCTTAGAATCAGGTTGTCAACAGAAGTGGGTCTGTGTCTGAAACCATATATGTGAATATATGTTTGAGTCTACATGTATGTGTTTTTGTGCTTTTATGGTGTAATGTCTGCAGTTCAGGAGGATAACATTTAAAAAATCAGAGACATGTAAAATTTTAAATGCCTCCCACCCTGCTGAAAGTGTGTCCCATTGTCCTGGAGGGGTTTAATTTCCCATCATTTTAACAAAAGGGAAGAGAAATTATGTCATTGATACCACCCTAACCTTTCCCCTTTGGATCTCTCATCCGAATTCATTGGTTTCAGTATGAAATTAGTTTGGTGACCTTCTTTTTGTTTGCTTTGTTTAACCTTCCTCTGCCAGTAGATGGGAAAGGGCCCTTCCCTACTTTATTTTTCTGGGCCAAACCCCTATTTCCCTTCCCATGTGCTTCCTTTTCTCCTGAGGCAGGATCAGCCCCAGGAGCACCACTTCCCCTTCGTCCGCTGTTGTGGGTGCTGATTGTGTTCTCAGCGGCTTGTCCCTGGGTGCCCCCTGCACAAAGGCAAGTGGCAGGGATCAGCACACAGCTCTAGTGGGAGAGGGAAGGGGGAGCTGGGAACCGCTATTTTATACCCTGCCAATTCAGCAGAAGCTGGGAGGAGTCCCTGGGCAGCAAAACCCAGAGCAGGTGGTGGGTCAAAAGGGTTTGCCCTGGTATGTATTGTGTTTCTCCTGGCTGGGTGAGCAAAGCCCTCTTGTGAATCCCTTTCCCACCTAACAGGGCTGCATGGCAGCAACGTGCATGGCAGCTTCAGACTGAGCCTTTTAAGAATGGACTGCATGCAGTTTAAAATGGTCCATCTGCAGCATCATTCAGGGTAGGAAAGGGAAGAAAATAGGGCAGGGTTTAGGAGAGGCGAAACACTCCTGGCCTGTTCTTCATGTCAAGACACTAGCTTGGTTATTGGACTAATTTCCAGTGCAAAGTTGTCTTCCTAGCCAGACCAAACCAACCCCCCAAAAAACCACACAACCAAGGAGCTGCAGTGGGTAAGTGGCAGTCCTGAGGAGCACAGAAAAAGCACAAATTCTCAGTACACCAAGCCTGCAATATACTTTTTAGTTTGTCTTTTTCCCACAAATGAAGCAGGGCTGGGGAAATTGAGCAGCTGTGTTTATTTTAATGCATTTCATTTAACCCTCTCCTGAAAACAAATTGGAAGGTTTGGGAGTGCATTAATCTGGACCCGATTAGTGTCTCTTTCACCCTCAAAAGTGCAACCTGAGATTAATGAATATAAACTAGAGTTTCATATGCAGTCTTTAAATCATTTGCATGTCTTATGCATGATAATTGAATTTATTTATGCACTTCCTCTCATTTAATGATTTTTCGCTCTTTTCTCTGCTATCAACATTATAGTATGCAAGAAATAGGATTTGGTAGGCAAGAAAGGATAGCAGTATATAAATCAAACCTGAGTTAATTTTTAGTTCTAGTGTCAAAAGAGTAGATTGGAATTAATATTGGTGCTATTACAGTGGGGTTATATGGCTGGGAAAATGTAAAATACTTCTGGTAAAACGGAGACTTTAAGAGTCATTTCTGATGCAGCTAAGTTTGCTTGCAAGTGTGCAAGCAAAATTATTTTCTAATGGCAGTTAAATTTATTATATTGACTTTTCAATGACCCTAGAGACTTGTGTTTCAACTTGGCCAATTAGTAGTAATAAGATGAATAGTAATTACATTAATAAATAACTGTTTTCAGACCAGGACCTCAGTATCATAGTCTGGCTTAGAAAATAAGGATATATTATCATTTGTCTCATTTGGTCTTTCATCATGAGAAAGATGGACTTTGGAGCTATAGTAAATTTATTGTAGCCAAGAAGGTAGAAGTCCCAGTAATGAGTGAGTTGTGATAGCTAGCAGCTCTGTGGAAGTAGCTGTTTCAGTGCCATAAGCAGGGAATTTTGCTTTGTTTCTCTAATTAAGTTCAGATGCCTTAAAGATGTCCTAGGGATGGAGTCTAAATTTTTTAGAATGCATGCAAGGAGGCTACTAAGGAAAATAGGTTTAAAAAGATGCTGGTAGTGGTGCTTTCATAGCTTTAATCTATACCAGTTTCTTTTGTGTCTCGTCTTTCCTTATGTGTTGAAAGATGTATGTGGAAGTGATATTTTTATGTGGTGTCCTGTCTTTTATCAGTGGATTAAATGGTTGTCTTGTGATTGTTTCTTGATTCTCGTAGGTAGGAATGTGTTTAAAGGCTAAAGCTCTGTTAATTTGTGATGTAACCATTTCAGTGTCTTTCTTGTCATTGAAATGTAGTTTAAAATGTTCAGTAATGTAGCATGAAATCATTAGTTAGTTTTGGAATGGTGGTGAAATCATGTGAAGAAAATAAGTATTGCATCTGATCAAGATAAATTCACTCTAGTGTTTTATGGCTTTTTATTCCTATGTGATAGTAATAAAGTCTCATGTAGGGATGGAAGCCATGAAATACATTGTGAAAAATCATCAACTCAGATGGGGCCATCAGGATAGCATGCTGTAGTTGTAGAGTTATTGAGAATGATTGGAAGATGATTTAGTATGTCACTACGTTGACTACCATGGTTTTGCGTTTTGTTTCTTCATCTTTCACCCATGTAGTTTGATGAGAGGAAATCAGTTTGTAACAAGCCGATCCATCCCTACATCAGTGTTCAGTGTTTAAATTGTCCATGCATCTTTCATTTTCTGCCAAAGATAACACTGTATATGAAACACTAAGCTAAGAATTTGATATAGCTAATAAACACATGCCGAAATGAATACAAAGAAAAGCCAATGAATTTCTAAATGTTTGAAAATTAAGAAGGAATCAAAACAAGGTCTACACTGTTAGCAAGTGTTCCAGGTTCTGTACTTCCATGTTCAAGAGCATCTGAGAGATGATCTGAGGATTAAAAAAATAATTCTTTTCCCTGCTTACATGTCTTCCTGAAAGTGCATGATATTTTCTCTCTCTGGAACTGAGATAAAGGCTGACATTGTTGTGAGCAGAACACAGTTCCTGACAAGTTCCTTACAGTGCTGCCATTTCCCATATTGCCTTACTGCTCCATCTGGTTTGCTCTGGGGTACCGCTTTATTTTGGGAATATTTTGGGGAATGTTATTTATTATGTATTCCTTCTCTGAAGCATATGTTAATAAAACATTATTGATTTTTTTCTTTTGGTACTTTGACTCTGTTTTTATTTCTCTCAGGTGTGAAATTTTCTCTGCTAAAAAGTACTTTCTCATAATTGTAACTAAGGATATCTTCTGGTGAAAATCCCCAACAATAATTAGGCAGGAAGTATATTTCATATTTTATTATAAATTAAAATTTCTGGTTAAATCAAATAGCACACAGAGAATGTAACCTTGATTAAATTTACAGTTGCTGTGTGGCAGTTATTTCACTCTTACTTGGGCTTACAAAGATCATAGATGCCAGTTTGCTCCAATGCTGCCATGTGAAGAAAAATTTATAAAAAACTGTAAAACAAGTTTACCTTCAGACTCCTATTAAAAGGCAAAATATTTCTTCCTTATGTTTTAACAGAGTTGCTTCAGAGAGTATCCAGTGTGTACTGTCAAGAGAATGCACTGGGCTTACTTTTCAACTGTGTATTCAGCTAAGATAAAAATTGTCTTCATGTTTTCAATATATACTTTGGTGATTACTATTCAGAGACCTGGAACAAAGTTCTTTAAATAGTTTCACATGGGCTTCTGTACTCTTTTTCTCAATTTCTCCCAGTTTAATGATCACTTGCAGTCAAAATATATTGTTGTCACTCCTAAATAATATGCAATTAATCTTTACTGCAGACTACACTTTGGAAAGTAATCTACAAGTCCCACCTGTACAGTGTATTTTCAGTACTGTATTTATCTCCAAATTAATTTCAGAGCCAAATATTCTCCAAGTTGATGTACTTCTTTTAAATGTCAAGCCAAATGGTTGAATATGGAATCTTAAAGGAAAGTGGAGCTTTTTTCCTGTATGTCAGTATCAAGTTGGAAGGGTTCTACTGACCAAAACTTAAGTTCTCTGAGCAGTACCAACCCATTAATCTTTCTAGATTACTTCCTTTACATTGCATTGTTTTCAGTAAATTTACACAACTGTGACTGGAACTTGTTAAATAACTTAATTGGTAATAGTTGAGGAGAATCAAGCTCATTCTCCTGTAGTAGTTCTGGTTCTGCAGTGGCCAAGGGAAGCTTAGAAGTACTGTGCATTTTAGCAGAAACTACTCTGAAAATACAATGTGCATTTTCTGAATTTGATGATGCTGGTTTTAAACCTGGTATAAATGGGTTGAGGCACTTTGCTTTATTAGCATGGCATAAACTTCACTGTGCAAATGATTGCTTCCACCTTGGCTGGTGGTTAGGATTAAAGGAAGGAATTCAAAATTGAGTTTCAAAGGGTAGGCTCTATCACTGAGGCCACTGTCACACCTGCATTTTTTGTGTGGGACATCTAATATTACAAACCAGTGTAGTATGTTCACTTAGGGAGATACATACTTTCTATGATCCTAATGAGATTTGGCCAGTAAAGGAAAATTTATCCCACCCCTCACTCCCATTAAGTTATATGGAGTGCCTACTTTACCTTTTGGTCATTGGCATGGGCTTACTCTGCCTGTGTTTCTAGGGTGAGGTGCTGAAAAGGCAAAATTTGGCTACACTGCTTTGTGTCCACTGAGAGCAAACCTTTTTCCTTGGAGCATGAGCAGGATGAGTTCATGTCTGCCATAACAAAGCCTGTCAGCATACCTATAGGAGCTTTCATCTTGCCAACTTTATTTCTCCTGTTTGCTTAATGAAATATAGGATACAAGTAAAGATTTCAGCATGGGGTTTGGAAACTGCCTAAATCTGGTTTTCCAAATAAAAGTTCCAAAGCTGTTCTCTGAAGTGTATGGAGAGAAATGCCAGCCAGGGAAGTTAGAATCCTCTGAAATAACACTGGAGGTAAACACAACCTTTTAATGGAGGCATTGGAATGGCCTAACAGCGCTGTTGCACTTTGATACCTTATTCATGTGTGTCTGCTGATGTAACTCCACTGACTTCACTTCACAAGCTACTCCAAGTGCCATGAGTGTTCGACGCAGGAGTTAGTAAACAATGACCTGTCCTGGGGTGGTCACACCTTAAACACATTTTTGATTTTCTGATGTGTTTTTCTTTTCTTACTGGAGAAGAAAATATCACTATGGGATTATTTTTTTTTTGTTGTTTTCTAGTAGTAGTTTTCCATAGAGGTTATAGACACCTTCTTTAGTCTGTTCTTTCCTGAAAAAGTCGTCATTTCTACCCTATTATTTTTCTTTCCCTCTGCTCCCAGGGTGGTGCTGATCTGTTTATTTCCTTTTTTTCTCTGAGCAAGGAATATGCTTTCTTATAAATCCTGCAACATGACATCAGAAATACCTCTTTGAATTATGTGTTATAAGAACATGACAATCAAGTTTTAAGTGACACCTTGCTGCGATGGCAAAGAAAGTATTTTTCTTGTCAGTGTCAATTTGAGTAAAAGGTGTGTGCATGTATTTTCGAAACATAGTCACTTATCAGAAAAAAAACAAGGTCTTGTCACAGAGATGAAATGTTAAAGTTACCACTTTGCTTAACATTTTGTAAATGTCCATA